ATTTTTGGGACATTGGGACCGGTTCTGGGGGAAGTGGGACTATTACAAATCGGATGGTCTACACCTGGGCAGGACTGGAACCAAGGTCCTAGGGGGTGCTTTTGCCAACGCTGTTGGGGAGGGTTTAAACTAACATGGCAGGGGGATGGGAACCAAATGAGGTGGTTAGTGGACAGTAAGGAGGTAGTAACTAAAGCCTGTAAGGAACTAGATAATGAAGTCAGTGTGACTAAGGGGAAGAGTAGGCAGACAGCAGATGTGGAACGCAAAGGGACAGGTGGTCTGAGGTGCATTTGTTTTAATGCGAGAAGTGTAGTAGGTAAGGCAGATGAACTTAGGGCTTGGATTAGTACCTGGGAGTATGATGTTATTGTTATTATTAAGACTTGGTTGAGGGAAGGGCAAGATTCGCAACTAAATATCCCAGGATATAGATGCTTCAGGCGGGATAGACAGGGAGGTAAAAGGGGTGGAGGAGTTGCATTACTGGTCAAAAAGGAATTCACAGCTGTGCTGAAGGAGGGCACTATGGAGGACTCGAGCAGTGAGGCAATATGGGCAGAGCTCAGAAATAGGAAGGGCGCAGTAACAATGTTGGGGCTGTACTACAGGCCTCCCAACAGCGAGCGTGAGATAGAGGCACAAATATGTAGACAGATTATGGAAAGATGTAGGAGCAACAGGTTGGTGGTGATGGGAGATTTTAATTTTCCTAACATTGACTGGGATTCTCTTAGTGTTTGGGGTTTAGATGGAGCAGAATTTGTAAGGAGCATCCAGGAGGGTTTTATGCAGCAGTATGTAAATAGTCCAACTCGGGAAGGGGCGATACTGGACCTGGTGTTGGGGAATGAGCCCGGCCAGGTGGTTGAAGATTCAGTAGGGGATTACTTTGGGAATAGTGATCATAATTCCGTAAGTTTTAGAATACTGATGGACAAAGACGAGAGTGGTCCTAAAGGAGGAGTGCTAAATTGGGGAAAGGCCAACTATAGCAAAATTCGGCAGGAGCTGGGGAATGTGGATTGGGAACAGCTGTTTGAGGGTAAATCCACATTTGATATGTGGGAGGCTTTTAAAGAGAGGTTGATTAGAGTGCAGGACAGACATGTCCCTGTGAAAATGAGGGATAGAAAGGGCAGGATTAGGGAACCATGGATGACAGGTGAAATTGTGAGACTAGCAAAGAGGAAAAAGGAAGCATACATAAGGTCTAGGCGACTGAAAACAGACAAAGCTTTGGAAGAATATCAGGAAAGTAGGACCAATCTGAAACAAGGAATTAAGAGGGCTAAAAGGGGTCATGAAATATCTTTAGCAAACAGGGTTAAAGGAAAATCCCAAAGCCTTTTATTCGTACACAAGGAGCAAGAAGGTAACTAGAGAAAGGGTTGGCCCACTCAAGGGCAAAGGAAGGAAGTTATGCGAGGAGTCAGAGAAAATGAGTGAGATTCTTAATGAGTACTTTGTGTCAGTATTCACCGAGGAGAGGGACATGACGGACATGACGGATGTTGAGGTTAGGGATAGATGTTTGATTACTCTCGGTCAAGTCGGCATACGGAGGGGGAAAGTGTTGGGTATTCTAAAAGGCATTAGGGTGGACAAGGCCCCAGGTACGGATAGGATCTATCCCAGGTTACTGAGGGAAGCGAGACAGGAAATAGCTGGGGCCTTAACAGATATCTTTGCAGCATCCTTGAGCACGGGTGAGGTCCCGGAGGACTGGAGAATTGCTAATGTTGTTCCCTTGTTTAAGAAAGGTAGCAAGGATAATCCAGGTAATTATAGACCGGTGAGCCTGACGTCAGTGGTGGGGAAGCTGCTGGAGAAGATACTGAGGGATAGGATCTATTTACAATTGGAAGAAAATGGGCTTATTAGTGATAGGCAGCATGGTTTTGTGCAGGGAAGGTCATGTCTTACCAACTTGATAGAATTCTTTGAGGAAGTGACAAAGTTGATAGATGAGGGAAGGGCTGTAGATGTCACATACATGGACTTCAGTAAGGCGTTTGATAAGGGTCCCCATGGTAGGCTGATGGAGAAAGTGAAGTCGCATGGGCTCCAGGGTGTACTAGCTAGATGGATAGAGACCTGGCTGGGCAACAGGAGACAGAGTTGTAGTGGAAAGGAGTTTCTCAAAATGGAGAACTGTGACCAGTGGTGTTCCACAGGGATCCGTGTTGAGACCACTGTTGCTTGTGATATACATAAATGATCTGGAGGAAGGTATAGATGGTCTGATTAGCAAGTTTGCAGATGACACTGAGATTGGTGGAGTAGCAGATAGTGAAGGGGACTGTCAGAGAATGCAGCAGAATATAGATAGATTGGAGAGTTGGGTGGAGAAATGGCAGACGGAATTCAATCCAGGCAAATGCGAGGTGATGCATTTTGGAAGATCCAGTTCAAGAGCGAACTATACGATAAATGGAAAAGCCCTGGGGAAAATTGATGCACAGAAAGATCTGGGTGTTCAGGTCCATTGTACCCTGAAGGTGGCAATGCAGGTTGATAGAGTGGTCAAGAAGGCATACAGCATGCTTTCATTCATTGGACGGGGTATTGAGTACAAGAGTTGACAGGTCACGTTACAGTTGTATAGGACTTTGGTTCAACCACATTTGGAATACTGTGTACAGTTCTGGTCGCCACATTACCAAAAGGATGTGGATTCGTTGGAGAGGGTGCAGAGGAGGTTCACCAGGATGTTGCCTGGTATGGAGGGCGCTAGCTATGAAGAGAGGTTGAGTAGATTAGGATTATTTACATTAGAAAGACGGAGGTTGAGGGGGGACCTGATTGAAGTCTACAAAATCATAAGAGGTATAGACAGGGTGGATAGCAAAAAGCTTTTTCCCCCAGAGTGGGGGACTCAATTACTAGGGGTCACAATTTCAAAGGGAGAGGGGAAAAGTTTAAGGGAGATATGCGTGGAAAGTTCTTTATGCAGAGGGTGGTGGGTACCTGGAACGCATTGCCAGCGGAGGTGGTAGAGGCGGGCACGATAGTGTCATTTAAGATGTATCTAGATAGGTGCATGAATGGGCAGGGAGCAGAGGGATACAGATCCTTGGAAACTAGGCGACAGGTTTAGATAGAGGTTCAGGATCGGCGCAGGCTTGGAGGGCTGAAGGGCTGAAGGGCCTGTTCCTATGCTGTAATTTTCTTTGTTCTTTGTTCTTTGAATGGAGGGATATGGACCAAGGGCAGGCGAGAGGGAACAGTTTGATGTCACGGTCAGCACAACATCATGGGCCGAAGGGCTCGTGCCTGTTCTGTACTGTTCTGTGTTCTACAGAAATAAGGACTACCAACAAAACCAATAGAGGCTGATGCTTGCCCCCACAATGCCTAAAAAGAAAAAATGGCACTATGACCAAAGACTATTTTATGTTCCATAATGGTCTCCAGCATCCAGTCCTCATCTACTGGAACCAGGCGTCAATCAGATCCTGTCTGGCTTATAGTTCAAGCTCTGTCATAGGCAATGAGTTTTCTCCTGCCCAATCTCATTATCATCCTCCTTGGAATACTACTTCTGCTCCCTCAACTCCTCAGCATCCAGTAAAACAGCCTCACTGGCCAATTATTCAGAGCATTGTCCCAGTCGATACGCTAGCATTCAACAAATTTGGATATGTACTTTTGCCCATCAAACTGACACTAACTCCACCCACCCTGGGCATTGTCCTAGCCACTTTCTAGTAACACTTTGCAATTAGAAAAACGTCAAGTGATGGATGGAATGCAGTTCACAGTGGACACCATGACCTCCACCTGGTTGCAACAGTCCCCACCGCCCCCACCCCACCCCAAACACAAGCGCCATGCCTTTCTTTACCTCACATAATCCCCAGAGTCCATTTCCACCCAGCATCCCCATTCTGGAGACATACCACATTGAACTTTGTCTAAAACTGTCCTCCTTGCCCCTGAATTCGGGTATTGTACATTAATGAAACTCATTTTGTGAAGACCATTGTCATCGTCACTGCCACTAACCCCACTCCATTAGGCTACCATTGCCTTACAATAGTGTTCCACATACCTTTCATACAAATGGAGCACTCATCATCATCATCCTTGATCCAAACACAAACCAGCCATTCAGCCAACAGAACTAACTGACCAGCATATGCTTACATGAGTTTTTGAATGTAACAACAATTTAAAACCTGTCACAACCAATATAATCTTCAGAAGAAAGTCCTTACTGCAAATATTTAAATTAAAAATTGTAATGCCGTTTATAATAAAATTAACAAGAGAAATTTCACCATTATTTTTGTGGGAGAGGTTATGGTTCATTTGCAAAATCTTTTGCTTATATTTTATTGTCCATACTTCTTCAGATGAAGAGAAATTTGGAATGATATTTTAGAAGTAAAGATAACGTACTATCAGGGTTTCCACAAATAGAATTGGGCCTTTAAAATTCCCTTAACTCTTCATTTTTTTGTTTATTCATTCATAGGATGAGCCCGTCCCTAGTTGTCCACTGGGCAGTTAAGAGTCAACGACATTGCTGTGAGCCTGGCTCACATGTAGGCCAGGCCAGGTAAGGTCCACAGATTTTCTGGACGAGTTTTGTAACAATTGATAGTGGTTACAAGGTCATGTTATTTGAAGTTTATTTTTCAGATGTTTTCTGAATTTAAGTTTCACCAAATTTTGAACCTATATTCCTGGGACATTACCCTAGGACTCTGGATTACAAGTGTCATTACCGCCACATCCCTTTAATCCCCCTATACTCTCAACATCTTGAAGAAGCCTACACTGAAGAAGCAGGCCTAGATGACTGTTTAATACTAAACAAGAATACAGATGCTGAGTAAATGCATCGAACCCTATTATTTCTCCCTTGGTAGCTACAGCAAGAAGATTTAAACCAACAAGCATTTCTTAGCATTTCTGGAAAATATAGTGCAATTTAGTAGTCAACCTATCACAGCACCTCTAGAATACTGTGGCCCTTTAATAAAGCTTCATACCTGGGAAAGGGAAGAAGGAGAAAATCCTCAGAGGTATCACGCAGAGCTCAGCAAAAGCTAAATTCACTCCTATCAGATTAACCAGGATTTTCTCTGACAGATGCGGAGTCCAGAACACAATAAAGCACAACTGGGGATATAGGAGAAATTTTAAGTTAGAAACCACCACAGTTAAGGATTATCTGAATTCTATTTTCTCACTAAAAATCACCTCCAGATTCAGAACATTAGCTCAAAGTATGAGGTTTAGTTTTTCAAGGATTCCCTTACCATTGATGAGACATTGCATGCCATAGAAAGCTTCTCAGAAAATGCGTGTAATGTTCTGATAAGCTGACTGTTGCTTGAGGCCTTGCCAGACATGCAGTCTCTTGGAAAATCTCAGAGAAAATACATACATTTACTATGAGTAGCAAAAATGCAAGTCATGCGAATAAAGCGTTTTATCTTTGTGCAACTTACGTGGGACATTCTGAATTTTACTGGATCAAACATCCAGGCACAACACGGGGCAGCTAACCTAAACATCTCTTTACTCATTTTATGAGATTGTTTTATCTGTTTCTAGGATCAGTGCAATACTTGTTTTAGTAAGGAAGAAATCGACTGTGTTGACTGGTGTTTATAACATCCTTCCACTCCCTCCAACTGTGACTTAATATACAATGCTGCTTATATCCCCTATCCACTTATTGAGGAACAGTTCTCCACACAAAAGAGGTAGTTACTATCAGCTGAATTTTAACAGAAGTTGACTAAGCATCAATTTGGTATGTTTCATGGAGGGTTTCTTTCTGAGAGTCCTTGCGAGTTTTCTCATGCTATCTTCTCAAGTTCATTTTATTATCTAAACACTCCATGGCGCCATGTTTGTTCTGTTCTCCCATTTGCTGGAAGTGGAAGTACTTGGCACTATTGAGATATCTTGGGTTCCATTCCACTGGTGATATCTTTAAAGTGCAGCCCTGCAGCTGGTCAAGTGCTGGCAGTGGACATAGTGTGAGGGTAAACACAAACAAATGCTTCTCAGGGTACAAAGGTGGCACAATTTAAAATATTCACTCAGCAGCATGAAATAAAAGAAATAAAACTGGATGGACCACCTGGCATCAACAATGGAGAAAACAGCCCTGTCGACCCTGCAAAGTTCTTCTTACTAACATCCGAGCCTGGCGCCAAGATTGGGAGTACGGTCTCTCAGACTAGTTGAGCAACAACCTGACACAGTCATACACACAAAATCAAACCTTGTCCAGGGACATCATGTACATCTCTGGATATGTTCAGCAGGACAGACCCAGGAGAGGTGGCGGCACAGTGGTATATAGTGAGGAGGGATTTGCCTTGGATGTCATAGAGTCAGAGTACAGTATAGAAACAGGCCCTTCAGCCCAAATTGGTCCATGCTATCCATGGTGACCACTCAGCTAGTTGCAATTGCCTGCGTTTGGTCCACATTCCTCTAAACTCTTCCCATCCACATACCTATCCAAATGTTTTTTAAATGTTGCTATTGTACCTGCTTCAACCACTTTCTCTGGCAGCCCATTCCATATACGCACTACTCTCTGCCTGTGAAGTTGCCCCTCAGATCCTTCTTAAATCTTTCCCCTCTCACCTTAAACCTATGTCCTCTAGTTTTCAAATCCCCATCCCTGGGGAAAAAAGGCTACATGCCCTATCAATGCCCTCCATGATTTTATACACCTCAATAAGTTCACCCCTCATTCTCCTACGTTCCAAGGAATAAAGTCCTATCCTGTCCAACCTCTCCCTATAACTCAGGCCTACTAGTCCTGGCAACATCCTCGTAAATCTTCTTTGCACACTTTCCAGCTTAACCATGTCCTTCCTATAAAAGGGTGACCAAAACTGTACACAATACCCCAGGTGCAGCCTCACCAATGATTTATACAACTATAACATAAGGTACCAATCCAATACTCAATGCCTTGACCGATGAAGGCCAGCATGCTAAAGGCCTTCTTCACCACTGTCCCTGTCCACCTGTGATGCCGCTTTCAACGAACTATGTACTTGTACTCCTAGGTCCCTCTGTTCCACACACTCCTCAGGACCTTACCATTTATTGTTTAAGTCCTTCCCTGGTTTGACTTTCCAGAGTGCAACGCCTCAATAATTGACTCTGGACACGATGAAGTCTCATGACTTCAGGTCAAACATGGGCAAGGAATGATTACTCCTGCTGATTACCATGTACTGTCCTCTCTCAACTGATGAATCAGTACACCTCCAATATTAAACAATACTTGGAGGAAGTTTTGAGGGTGAAAAGGGCACAGAACGTACTGTGATTGCGTGATTTCCAAATCCACCACCAAGAGTGGCTTGGCAGCAGCACTACCAATCAAGCTGGTCAAATCCTAAAGGACTTGTTGCTAGATTATGTCTGCAGCAGATGGTGGGGGAACAAACAAGAGCAAAAGACATTCTTGATCTCACCCTCACTAATATACCTGCTGCAGATGCATTTGTCTATGACAGTATCAGTAAGACTAACCACTGCACAGTCCTTGTGGAGACAGGGTTCCACCTTCACACAGAATGCCTCACATCATGTTGTGGCACTATCACTGTTCTAAATGGGACAGACATCAAACAGATCTAGCAACTCGAGACTGAGCATCAATGAGGCACTATGGGCCATCAGCAACAGCAAAACCGTACTCCAACACAAATGCAAACTCATAATTCAGTATATCCACTACTTTACCATCATCATAAGGACAGGGGATCAATCCTGGTTCAATAAAGAGTGCAGGACAGCATGCCAGCAGCAGCACCAGGCTGGTGTCAAGCTGGTGAAGTTACAAAACAGGATTACTTGCATGTCAAGCAGCATATATAGCAAGTAATAGACAGAGAGCTAAGCGATCCCATGACCAACAAACCACATCTAAGCTCTGCAGGCCTGCCACATTCAGTCGTGAATGGTGGTGGACAATTAAACAACTCACTAGAGGAAGTGGCTCCACAACTATCCCTATTGTAGCAGCCTGTGACTGCTCAAGTAAAATAAATTGATTAAAAAGGTAACCACAGGAGACAGAGTAATGGTGGAGGATTGCTTTTCAGATTGGAGGCCTGTTACCAGCTGTGTTCCACAGGGATCGGTCCTGGACCCTCTTTTGTTTATTATTTATGTAAATGATTTGGATGAGAACATAGAAGGCATGGTTAGTAGGTTTGCGGATGTCACCAAAATTTGTGGCATAGTAGACAGTGAAGAAGGTTTTCCAAGATTACAAAGGGGTCATGACCAAATGAGTCAATGGGCTGAAAAACGGCAGATAGAGTCCAATCTGGATAAATGCAAGGTATTGCATTTTGGTACAACAAACAAGGATAAGGCTTATACAATTAATGGTGGGGCATTGGGTAGTGTTGTAGAACAGAGAGACCTAGGGGTGCAGATACATAATTCTTTGAAGTTTGCATCACATATAGACAGAGTGGGTAAAAAGGTGGTTGGCATGCTTGCCTTCAATGCTCAGTTGGGGAGTCATGTTGAGGTCGTACAGGACATTGGTGAGGCCTCTTTTGGAATAATGTGTCCAGTTCTGTTCACCCAGTTAGAGGAAGGATATAATCAAGCTGGAGAGGGTTCAGAAGAAATTTACCAGGATGTTGCCAGCTATGGAACGTTTGAGTTATAAAGAAAGGCTGGATAGGCTGGGACCTTTTTCATTGGACTGTAGGAGGTTGAGAGGCAATCTTATAGAAATTTATCAAACAATGAGGAGTATAGATACAGTTAGTGGCAGTTGTACTTTCCCTAGGATGGGGGATTTCAAGACTGTGGGGCACACTTTTAGATGTGAGAGGAGAGAGATTTAAAAAAGACATGAGGGGCAATTTTTTTTTTTAAACACAGAGGGTGGTTCGCATGTGGAATGAACTTCCTGAGGAAGTGGTGGATGTGGGCACAATTGCAACGCAAGTACATGAATAGGTTTGGAGGGATATGGGCCAGGAGCAGGCAGGTGGGACTAGTTTAGTTTGGGATTATGTTCGGCTTGGACTGGTTGGATCAAAGAGCCCATTTCCATGCTGTATGAATGTATGAACTAACTACAACAACCATAAAGCCAGCAATACAAGCACAGCAACTGAAACAAACAGCACAGAAGTTGACCAAAAAGCAAGATTGCTGGGAATACTTCGGCCAAGACATAAAGACACACTGAGTCTATAGAATCACAGAATCCCTAGTGTGGAAGCCAGCCCTTTGACCCATCAAGTCCACACTGATTGTCTGAAGATTATCCCACCCAGACCCACCCCACCTTGCATTTCCCATGGCTAATCCATCTATTTTACATATCACTGGACACTATGGGCAATTTAGCATTTAGATGGGCCTTTCTTTGGACTGCCCACACAATTGAAAACCAGAGAGGCAACAGAACACGACAACAAGTGTAAAAGAGCGGTTCACTGTTTCCTGACAAACAGATCATCACTAGACACATGGTTCAGATGTGCCTCAATAAAACAAAGGACCTGTTGCATATTCTGGGCCAAAGCCAGATATCCAAGTCTCAAAGAAGACAAAGGATTCACCGTTAGCAAACTATTGAAAGACATTAACAACACTTCAACCCAATGCCCCTGATTGGTCAAGTCCTTGGAAAATTTGAGAAGGTAGCCCCGAAGGTAAAAGAACTTGGCCCTGGCAGGACTTGACCTGATCCCAATCTCCAGCCTACAGGCATGTCAGGACACAACAGAGACCACAGCAGCTTGCTTTTCAACCAGGGGTAGAGACAGCAAGAGTGCAAAAAATCAACCCGTGGAGATAGAGGAATCAAAAGAATTTGATGAACTAGCAGAAGTTACAAGTATTTAAGTTTCTAAAGAAATGGATAGTTAGAAACAGAGTTGTTAAAATTGTAAAGGTTAGTTCTTACTTGGTTTGCCTTCAAATGAAGGTGTGAACGTTTCACTTAGTGCTGGCTTGTGTGCGTAGTCCTTTCCCTGATACATGCAAATGTACCTAGACAAATTCATTTTGCTGAGTGAGTCCACAGGGTCCTAGAGCCACCCTTTCCTGGACAACGCCATCCTCAATGATGAATATCAGTGCAAAAGATAAGGCTGAAGCACTCAAACCAATCTTTAGTTAGAAGTGCTAATTGGGTGATCTATATTGGCCTCTTCCAGAGGTCTTCAGCATCACAGGTGCCAGTCTTCAGCCAATTTATTCACTCCACGTGATATCAAGAAACTGTTGGAGGCACTGGATATTGCAAAGACTATGGGCCCTGACAGCATTCTGGAAATAGTACTGAAGGCCTGTGGTCCAGAAATTGCTGCAAGTCTAGTCAAGCTTTTGCAGCACAGTTACAAAACTGGCATCTACCCAATGTAAAAAAAAAACGCCCTGTGCAAAAAAGCAGGGTAGATTACCATCCCATCAGTCTACTCTCGATTATTGGTAATGGAAGTGATAGCACTGTTGATGCCACCTACGATCAAGCAGCACTTACTTAGCAATAACCCTGGCTTACTGACACTCAGTTTAGGTTCTGCCAGGGCTACTGAATTCCAAATCTCATTGCTGAAGGTAAGGGGAGAGTGACTGCCCTGGACTTCGAGGATGCATTTGACTGGGTGTGGAACTAAGGAGCCCTAACTAGAATCAATGTAAATAAGGGGCTAGGGTCTCCGTTAGTTGGAGTCATACCTGTGCATAGGAAGATGGTTGTGATTGTTGGAGGACAATCATCTCAGCAGGAATACCCAAGTGTAATATCCTACACCCAACCATCTTCAGCTGATTCCCTCAATCATAATGTCAAAAGCGGGGATGTTCGCCATTTGATGCTACTCATACACTGAAACACTCCACGTCCAAATGCAACAAGGCCTGGACAATATCTAGGCTGGGTCTGACAAGTGGCAAGTAACATTTGTGCCACACAAAAGGCAGTCAATTACCATCTTCAACAAAAGACAATCCAACCACCGCCCCATGACATTGAATGGTGTTACTATCACTGAAGCCTCCCAACAACATCCTGGGGTTTACCTACCACTGACTAGAAACAGACTTGGATTATCCATATAAATACTACGGCTACAAGTCAGAGACTAGAAATACTGCAGCGAGTCAGGAATTGATGGAATACTCCCCACTTGCCTAGGTGACTGTAGCTTCCAGTAACACTCAAGAAGCTTGACACCATCCAGGACAAAGCAGCCCACTTGATTGGTACCATATCCACAAACTTGCACTCCCACCATCAATGATACTCAACAGCAGCAGCATGCACCATCTACAAGATGAACTACAGAAATTCACCAAAGATCATATTAGAGCACCTTCCAAACCCATGACCACTTCTCTCTAAGATAACAAGGTGTAGAGCTGGATGAACACGGCAGGCCAAGCAGCATCAGAGGAGCAGGAAAGTTGACTTTTCGGAAACGTCAGCTTTCCTGCTCCTCTGATGCTGCTTAGCCTGCTGTGTTCATCCAGCTCTACACCTTGTTATCTCAGATTCTCCAGCATCTGCAGTTCCTACTATCTCACCACTACTCTCTAGAAGGACAAGGACAGCAGATACATGGGAACACCCTCCAAGAAACTCCCCATCCTGACATGGAAATATTATCACCATTCCTTCATTATTGCTGGGTCAAAAACATACAATTCCTGGAAGCCCTTCCTATTAACTCCACAGGCTTTGCGCCTCTCCAGGTCCCCACCCAAATCATCTACGTGAGCCTGCACTGTCCACCTTTCCCAGTCCCTAGCATATGATATGCAAATGCCGTGTGTGGTCATTCACTACACTCAGTCTTGAAGCAAGGGTGCTCTTGACTGTCACATTCCCATTCATTCTTGCAGATACTGTTGCTCTCACCATCTTCCTGTAGATGGGCCTGACAAAGTGAGGGTGGTTTACCCTTCTGAATGACCTAACTGAGACAATCCTGGACAAGAAGTACCCACACCTCTGACTTGTGTACGGCATCTCCCTGACCATGTTGGCTCTCATGCCCCAGACTGGATGCTCTGCAGCCACAGGGCTGACCAAGGCCACTCCTAGATTGCAGAAGCATAGACCCTCACCAAGATTTTTCTGACTGGGTGCCTACCATGGCCAATCCCCTAGACTGATATGGAAGGCTGCCCTTGACTTACTTGCTAGGACCCCCTGAGTGATGGGTGCCTCTACTAGCGCTGGTGAAGACTATTCCTTAAGATTTTGAGACAAGGCTTCTTGGTTGCTGCAATATAGTGCGTCAGCTGTGTAGGTTGCATAGAGCAGGTGTGATAATGATGTAACACCGTCATACAGCAAGATGTATGTCCCTTGGCTGAGGACTGTTGACCAGTAAGGCAAACAGCCCGGTTGTGTGACTGCATGGAATGGCAAAGCAAGGCAAGGAAAAGCATGATTGGCACAAACATACATGTGGGTGCTAAGTGAGTGAGTGCTAAGTAAACAAGCAAGCAGTCCTGAAATACTAAATAAAAACTGAAAGAACTGCAGATGCTGTAAAGGCATGCCTAGAAGAGACGTGGCAGTGACTTAAATACAAAATACATTGAGGAAGGGTCACTGGACCCGAAACACTAACTCTGATTTTTCTTTTTTCATAGATGCTGCCAGACCTGCTGAGCTTTTCCAGAAACTTCTGTTTTAGTCCTGAAATACTGCCTAGTCAAATCTGTGAGCTGGATGCCGGTCTCTGTTCATGGTGTCCAAGCTTCAGCCTTTCAATGCTAGTTGCAATGCACACTGCCTCCAAAGTGCTGTACCAATGTACTGAAGAGGTGCCATTTTCACTGTGAGGTATTGGCAAATGACAGATGCCAACATCCGTGGATGAAGGGTGTGTCTGGCCATTTCAGTCACATGCAACATGGAAGTTATTTAGAGTAAGTGGCAAGATGAACACGTCGGTTCCCAACTTTGGTTTTCTCGCTGTCTAGCTGTTTGGCATATTTGCCAAGACAGAAAAGTGGAATATTAACCAGCTGAGTTGGTCCAAAAACTTGCTGCTTCTTTGTGAAAAGACTGATCAAGCTACTCGTCAAAAGCATAAAAGATGGAACAAGATGCTCCCATGTCGAGATAGGCCTTGTCAGAATTCTCGTCTGCTCTGCCACCGTTTCGCCACAGCCCACATCACTCATACCCTCATAAAATTCCACGGTTTCTTATTTCAAACATGAACATTTTAAATTTTCGTTCTTTTCTCAAAGCTCACATGCCTTTTCTCAGCTGTTAATTTAATTTCCTTTGCCACATCCTTTCCAAAACCAAAAATATTTCCAGTAAAATGTGGTGGCTAGAAATGTATACATTATTCCAAATGAGTCTAAATAAATTCCGCACAAGATCAGTTCTTATTGTATCATTATCCTGCCAAGTATGCAACTCTTTTGCTCATCACTGGTGGTGCCATGCCATAAAGCCAATGGTTTCAGGCAGTTGTCCAAAATTATTCCTAGATCTCTGTCTGTATCTTACAACATATCAACATTTACCTTATCCTCCCACACAGGCAGTGCTGCCACAATTTTATTCAAAGGAAACAGCAAGTCATTCACCAAGCTAACATTCCAATCTGTTAAATCTTCTTTCACCTGCAATCGCCTTTTTTGCTCTAATTTGCATCCTAATCATCTCTTAAATTTAATATCAACAGTGAGCTTTGCTGGTCTCGTCCATTTCTAAATCGTTATGTGCAACAATGGGTTGAAACTGATCTAGGAAGCATCACACTTGCTTCTTTCCAGAGCAACACCATCCCCTGAAGTACCCTTTTCTCATGGTCTATTCATTTCCATGCAATTTCAGTAGCACCCTTCCTAGTCCTTGTCACACAATCTCCTGTGTCAAAGGTTTACTGAAGTCCAAGGAAATTAGAGATAATTGTATGAATTTGAATGCATGACATAAAGATTCATCACAAACTTCAGATACCAGGGATTGTGTTTCCAAAAATTTTCCATTCATTAATTTGAATGTAATGGAGTCATAGAATGAAACAGATAGGTATAACTTCTAACAGTTAGATTATCTGTGTGCCTTACTGAGACGTGACACTACAACTGCATATTTCTTCTTTTATCCAAATGATCTTGTCAGTTTAAAATTAATATTACTTTCCACTGACATCAGTAGAGGATTCAGTGAAGCTGCTAGTCTATTGCACCCATTTTTCTATCCCATAGAAAAGGATAAATCTTAATCTCTTCAGTCTTAAAATTATTTTTAAATCAGAACACCATTCATCATGCAATTTATACCAATGCACACTATTTAATATCTCCATCTTCATTTCATAATTGAATAATGCTTTTTTAAAAAAAAAATTCATACACAAGTAGCTGCATTCAAGCAGGATATGTTCATGTGCATTCTGTTTTGAAATTGAGCTGTATAATGAAAGCTCTTGAAAGAATAATGATATGTCTGGTGTCTTCCTTCACTAGATGACAGTTTATTTACAGGATGTGACTAACTGTACAGTAATTCAATTATGCAAGCTGAATTGTTCTTACACCCCAAGCACTGCAGCAGTTCAAGAATTACAGAATGCACGGAGACCACTCAGTCCATCATGTCTGCTCCATCTCCCCAAATGAGCACCATGATGTAGTACCACCCTCCCCTCCTTCCCCCTTTGACTATTTAAACAGAACCAACCAATGCCTCCTTGAATGCTTCAATTAAATCTGCCTCGACCATACATCCAAGCACTGCATTCCAGACACCAACCACTCGTGTGAATTTTTAAAAAAAATCTCACATAACTTCTTCTACAACTCACTTTACATCCATGACCTCTTGATCTTGATAAATATATGATTGGAACAGTTTCTCCCTATTTATTCTGTCCAAATCTTTCATCATTTTCAAAATTTCAACCAAATCGCCTCTTAATCCTCTTCTCTCTAAAGGTGACTCATCACTGCCTTCTCAAGGGTAATTAGGAATAGCTAATAAATGCTGGCC